GGGCAGCAGGTAGGAGACATGGAAGGTGCAAGCTGCACTATGGTGTCTGCTCACAGATTTGCCTGGTCCATGTGGGATTGGCCAATCAACTCCTTTCCTGGAAGAGAAAAACACACTGAGCAGAGAGAAAAGAAGAGAGGGCTGATGCAGATGAGCCTGCCTCCGTCTGTCAATGATGCTAATAAACTATCAACAGTTGGGTAGTTTATAGACAGCAGAACTACGTTTTCACATGTGGAGGCTGGGAACTCCAAGACCAATGAGCCAGCAGTGTCAGGTGTTTGGTTTGGTTTTAAGATGGAGCCTTGTTTCTTACCCTCCAGAGGGGATAAAAGCCATCTTCATAGGACAAGAGGCACAGAAGGACACAAGGAGCTTGAGCCAGTTCCCTCTAGCCCTTTCGTTACATATTAATCCTGTCTATAAGGTCACAACATTTACAATCTAATTACCTCAAAGAGGCCCCACCTCTTAGTACTGTTGCATTGGGGAACAAGTTTCAACAAGGATTTGGGAAGGGACACAGGCATTGAAACTCTAGCAAGGCACAGCTTGCAACATTAGCAGGGAAGGGAAACAATAGAAACAATAGCCATCTTAGGAGAAGCCAGGATCAACGCTTTCACAGTCCTGGTGAATGCATTAAAACTAATTTCAACAACTGAACAAAAAAAGAAAGAAAGAAAAAGGAAAGGAAAGGGCATGGCTGCCTCGGTAGGTGGAGGAGAAGGTTTATTACAGATAAAAGGAGAGCAGAGGCAGGGACATCTGGGAGAGTCCAGAGTGGACATGACCAGACTGAGCCCGGCCATGTAGGGAGAGGGTTAGGGGAAGAAAGAGAGGGGAACCAGGTGCAACAGCCAAAAGGACAAAGGTACAAAAAGGACACAGGTAACCAAAATGTCTGGATTCCCTATATATAGGGAAGAACTGAGGGAAGGGCAGTGCAGTCCCTGGACCACAGAGTTCAGGGTAGAGGGCAGGGTGGGCCAATCATACCCTGTAACAGGTAGGGACTGAGGGATGCTGGGAGAACCTGGAGGCTAGATCTGTTTTGATGTTAAATAGGCACCTCAGCTGTTTGTCCTAGGTTTGAAATTTAACAGCAATAATTATGAAGAATCTGTCTGGGCAAAGCACTGAAAAATAGTGGAATGAATAATTTTATTTAATATTCACATGGAGTTTGCTGTGTTCTAGGCACATTCTTACGGCTCTTATAAATATTAACTTGGTTAGAATTCAAAAAAACTCAAGGTGATGGATATTTTATTATCCCCATTTTTTTTTCTTTTAAATCACAATGAAACTGAGTCTGTGGGCAGGGTTTTGGTAGTGTTAAATGTAGTCCTTAGAACACTGTAAAATCTGATTCTTGTGATTTTTATTTGTGGTTTAATAGAGGAAGAAGCTCAGACCAAAGAACTCATGTAGCCTAATTACAGTTACATGGCTACGTGGCTGAATTCCACTACACCAAACCATCTCCAGGGTTTCCAGGGTTCTCCCTCAGGGAGCTTTGATGACACATGATAATGTAACTGGTCCATCAGGAATAATACATTCTAAAGAGAGAGTCAGGGTGCCCCTCTTGTGCTATCAGACCATTGAATTATAGTTTTGCCAGTAATCTGACCTGGGGGCATCAAGACATGGAACTTACCTGAGGGGAAAAGGATTTATAATTTTCTAGATGACCTTGCAGGACAGGCCTATAGCTGAGACAATGGTGGGCAGGGACCACACCATGCCCCACTCTTTAGTTTTGCCTGCCCCTTGTTTTCTAGATAAACACTACGTGGATTCTTGAAGGCAGACTTGTAGGAGTTGCTGGGATCCCTCTTCCCCATACGGCCCTAGTGAATAAGTCTCTTTCTTTCTGTCTTTCGCTATTAGTTTGACTCCTTTGGTTGGCTTATTGGGGAGGAGTGGGTCCTGGCTTGTTGGCAGTATGGGCAGTAACCCAGAAGTGCAAGAATTTACTCCGTCCTGTTCCTCCCCTTTCTCTTCTCTGGCACTTTCTAAGAGAATAGACTTTCTGGCCTGGTTGGAGACTCAGCATTCAATCTGGGCTAGTTCAGTCACTTTGGCTAAGATATTACCCCTAGGAAAGTGGGCTCACTTTAAAGCATGCTAAAGAGACAGGCAGAATAGTTATTTCAAAACCAAACAAAAAGCATTTTGTCATTTCACTTGTGTGAGTGTTTTGCCTGCGTATTTGTGCATGCAATGCACGTTTGTGTGTGTATCATGTGTGTACTTGGTGCTCACAGAGGTCAGAAGAGGGCATTAGATCTCCTGGAACTAAAGTTATGGATGGTTATGAACCACCTTGTGGGTAGAGAGAACTGAGCCCACGTCCTCTTGAGAAGCAACAAGTGCTCTGAACCTTTAAACCATCTCTCCAGTCTCAGAACAATTAGTTCTTTAGTGAGATGGCAGGCTTTCCCTTCCCAGAATCCCCACTCCTAACACAGTAGCTTATGGGCAGCAGTCATGTGAGGGTCGTAAGCTTTCTGCATGCCCTTTCCTTTCCTTCTCTCTCTTTTCTAAGCATGCTTTCCTTGACACATTCTGGGTTGCTGGACTGCCATGTGTCTGACTTCCATGCTAACTTCAATGGTGTGACCTTTGCTTCTCTCCTCCTCCAGGAAGTGATGATGTTTACTCTTTACCTGCCTTGGTTTTTGTTTGCTTGGTTTTTTTTTTTTTTTTTTTTTTTTTCGAGACAGGGCTTCTCTGTACAGCTCTGGCTGTCCTGGAATTCACTCTGTAGACAGGCTGGCCTTGAACTCATAGAGGTCTGTCTGCTGCCAAGTGCTGACATTAAAGGCATGCACCACCATGCCTGACTAAAATTATTTCATGTTTAATTATGTGTCTGCGTGTTGATCTGTGCACGTGAATGCAAGAGTCTGGAGAATAGTGGTGTCAGACTCTCTGGAGCTGGAGTCTCACATGGTTCTGAGAGCCCCATCATGGGTGCTGGGGGGAACCGAACTCGGGTCCTCTGAGAGAACAGTATATGTTCTTAACCACTGAGTCATCTCTTCAGTCCTTTCTTTTAAACTCTTAATAAAATTGTCCTTGAAAAAATAAGTAAATAAACAAACAAATTGTCCTTGAACTTCTTCTATTTGAGTGTATTTTAAGTCATTTTATTTTAAGTCATTTTAAGAACCCTAAAAGGGACTCAATTTCTCCTGGATCAGGAAATGTGGCACAGAAAGAACCAGATTTCTAGGGAAACTGCAGCCACTCTGGCTCCCTGCCTCAGCAATGCTCTGGGGCCCAGAGATTTAAGGGTAGCGATTTCATTCCATTGTTCTGAACTCTGCTCCCATCTTACTCCCTATAGCACTCCCCACCGCTTCTAGTCTGCCCTACTGTACATCTCCCAGTCTCTGAAAAAGAGAGAGAGACAAGGAAGTGGCCTACAGAGCAAGGAGTCAGAGAACCCCAAGCAGAAGCCCAGACATCATTCCCTGAGAAGACTTACCAAGGCAGAGAAAGACCAGGGCTCGGTACAATAGGGTGACTATCAGCAGGGGTTTTAAAGTTAGGGTCAGGGAGATCCCCAGAGTCCTAAGACAGAAGAAATGGACTCAGGGGTCACCTTTTGTAGCTACTTCTGCCTTCTCCCTGCCCCTCTGTGCCGTTACCAGAAGTGCTGAGTTTGGGGCTTCAGAGTCTTTCAAGTCCTCTTGCTCTTTGCCCTCTAGTTCCTTAATGGATCAGCCTTCCTAGGGCGGGACCTGCATTCCTCACACCACCCTCTCAAAAGGACCTGATAAACCTGGTCTAGCCGGTGTAGTTAGTTAGCTGTAGTGGCTAGCGGGGAAAGCCAGGAGTCAGTGGGAGAATGCCTACATCCCGTCATACCTCCTGTTTGCTCTCTCTGCCCCACCCCAGGGGCTGAGTTAGCCCAGACTCTTGGGTTGTTCTGGACAGAACCAGGAGCACTGCTCTCAGCCAATGTTTGGTAAGGCTGAACTCAGATACTGGGAGAACAGACTGCGTGGAGAGGCAGGTGCATAGGAAGCAGGGAGTAACCAGTCTGGGACAATTGCCTGGAATAAATACAATTGTCTGTCACAGGCTTTTCTGTGCCAGCCAAGCCTGCTGAGCCGGCCAAGTTTAAAGGGACAATTGTGGACTTAGAGGCCAGCTGATATCATTACCGCAGTAACTGATTTCAGGAAGGAACCTAAGGTTCATTATAGAGGCAGAAGGCCGGAGTGGATGGGACAAGAAAGACCCGTGCTGAAGACTAGACCAATGCTGGGTGATGGTTTGTACCAGTGAGTGACGACCTGCCTAACTACCAGTGCCATCTCCAGCAAACAAAAGTGACCAGAGACCTTACAGTGTCTTTCCAGATATCAGGAGCCAACCAATGACCAACCAATCATGCACCTGCTGCCTCCTCCACTCCTCTATGATTGCGGGACCTGACGAGAGAAGACACCGCCACCTAGCTTGTCCCTCTGACCCCACCAACATTCATTATCTCTCAAAGGCTGGCTTTCTGTGTTGTAGGAAACTCACATCCGCCTATTCTTGTCTTCAGGGCTCTGAAGTCCAAACTGTGAAGACAGAAAGATTTAGCTGTATCAGCTGCCTCGGTGTATCACCTAGTGATGTCATCCTCCTCCTACACTTGAAGGAAGATTTGCCATCTTGTTCTCTCCGCTTCTTCTAGCCACTGTTAAGAAACTCTCACTGAGCCATCTCTCAGAGGTTAAGAGCATTGCCTGATCTTCCAAAGGTCCTGAGTTCAATTCCCAGCAACCACATAGTGGCTCACAATCATCTGTCTGGCTTTCAGGCATACATGCAGACAGAATATTGTATACATAATAAATAAATATTTAAAAAAAAAAAGAAACTCTCACTGAATTGGAGCCCCAGGGAAGAGGGCACTAACATGCTGCCCCAGAGAGAACCCATCCAGAGTACAACAGGACAAACAGATAAGTCGTTTAGGAAACCGCCCCTACCTTATTCCCTCCTCTGGACTTCAATGAGACATCCTTGAACTTTTTGTCTCCACGTAGCCAAAAGTGAGTTCAAACCTCTGGCCCTCCAGCTTCAACTTTACAACTGCAGTGACTGCAAGAGTACACACAGTTACGACAGTGCTGGAGGCTGAACCCATGTCCCCTGCATATTAGGTGCATACCTTACCAACTGTTCTATATCCAAAGCTCCCTCTCTAATAATTGCTCAGGGTCAATCAAGGCGATCGTCCCGCATACCTGGGAGTCACACCCAGGAAACTTGGTAGGTAAGAGTTCTATCAGGTGATCTGGGTCCCAGCGTAAGCATCTGTTTTTAGTTCTCACTAACAAGAAGGGAAGTGTTAGATCTGAAGTGATGTAGGCCATTTGGAAATAAAAAGAAAGCAGACAGACATCCCCAGAAGCAGAAAGGCTGCAATCTCTCCAAGGAGGTGAGACTGTGTGCACACGATTTGAGAGGGGGGGTCTTTGAGTTTTAGAGAAGGGAAAGGGGAAAACATTGGGGATGGAAGAGTCCATTTGCTGGTCAGTTCTCCGGCAGTCTCCACATGGTAGGTACCAGGGCATTTGATGTGGGGATCTGTTAACAAGAAGCCTCTATGGGTGTCACCAGTCAAGTTAACTTCCTTGTGCGGAGCTCCTCAGTCCACCTTCTGAAGGGTGGGAGGGCAGAAAGGGAGGCAGAAATGGAAGGAGGAAGGAGAAGTGGAAATAAAGAGGCCTGGCTAGGCATCGGTTGTGCTTCCTCACCACCGTGTGAACAGAAAAACACAAACAAGAGAAAGAAAGAAAAAGGAAAGGAAAGGGCATGGCTGCCTCGGTGGGTGGAGGAGAAAGGAGAAAGTTTATTACAGATGAAAGGGAGAGCAGAGCCAGAGACACGGACATCTGGGAGAGTCCAGAGAGGACATGACCAGACTGAGCTGGGCCATGTGGGGAGAGGGGGAGGGGAAGGGAGAGAGGAGAGAGAGGAACCAGGGCATCAAGGAAGAGACTGAAATACAAATGGTGAGGTAAGCAAAATGTCTGTATTCTATAGGGAAAAGTCTCTGGGGGAGGACAGCTCAGCCCCTGGACTGGAGAGTTCAGGGTAGAGGGTGGGGTATGCCAGCCTTACCCTGTAACTGGGAGGGACTGAGGGATGCTGGGAGAACCTGGAGGCCAGTCCCACTTTGATATATTAAATGGGCTTCTCCACTGTTCTGGATTTCAAAGTTAATACCTTGCTATCTTAGCCTTTCTGCCCTTTGTTTTTCTGGGTTTTGTTGGTCTGTTTGTTTTTGTTTTGGGCTTTTTGTGTGTGTGTGTGTGGTTTTTTTTTTGTTTTTTTGTTTTTTTGTTTTTTTTTTGTCTGCTCATTTGTTTTGGTTTTGGTTTTTGAGACAGGGTTTCTCTGTGTAACAGAGTTGCCCAGGCTGGTTGCAGGAAACTGAACTCAGGTCCTCTGGAAGAGCAGCCAGCCTTCTCAGCTGCTGAGCCATCTCTCCAGGCCCTGCCTTTTCTTTTTTAAACTGAGAACTGAACTTAGGCGGGCCTGTGCTATGTCTCTGATTCTGGTTCTATCTCTCATCTAAGCCTAGCTGCATATTAGCCGGAAACTGTCATCCAGTAAGCCAGAGAATAGGAGGGGAAGGAATCCTGCCTACTGCCTCACGGGAGTCAGTGTGCTTGTCCTGACTGCCCAGGGAAAACAGGCTCCTTTTGCTTGTGTATTCCTGGGATACACAAGTGTAGAACTGGTAGTGTTCTGTGTATGTAGCACACAGTCAAGGCAGCCTGATGTGTTTGTGTTTTCTTTGTGCACAGGGTCCACCTGCCCAGCTTAACACATTGCACACAAGAAATTAATAAACATCTCAAACTTGAAGGCTTCCTGCTGCTTCCTGGGCTCCTTTAATCTGGTTTTCCCATCCTCTGTTGTGACATTTCTGGGCTGAGCTTCAAAATCTCCACTGCTCTGTCTAATCTGAAAGCCCACGGCAGAAAGAGGAAGTAAGCATCTTCATTTTCTACTTGCCCCACTTACCAAGTCAAGGACTGCCAGACCAAGAGGTATGTACGCGCGGAGATGCTCTAGAAAAGTGGACTCTGACCTTCTGCAGAAACAGCCTCCGGGGGAAGAACGTATATGCTAGTTATTATGATGATGAACGTGTTGGAAGAAAAGCCAAAAACCAAATACCTTGTCTGCTACCTAAAAAGGTCCTTGGAAAAATTTCGGCTGCCAGCAAAACACTCAGCCAATCAGAGTTTTTCTGATGGCATCATCCTCCACGAACGAGTTTTATTGGTAGGAAAGCCCTTAGGTGTTGTGAGAGCGTGGAGTTTCCATTGTAGCACAAGGGAAATTGTCTGTGGCTTCGTTTAAGGTTCTACTGATTTCCACCGTGCCAATATTTCCAACCAAGCTGAGCCTGTTTGGGGCACTTGTTATAAACGGAAGTATTAAGACACTTGGTTTTCTTCGGTTTTCCAAAGCAGCTGATTCCAACCAAGTCTTCTAGTTTTGTTGTCTTGTTCGTGGCTGAGCATTTCTTGCACAGAGGCCTTAGGACCCTTGCATCAGTTCACCACAGAGGTAGGAAGCGAGGCCACTGCGGGTCAGGCAGTAGAAAGGACTCTTTGGGGGGGTGGGGAAGGAAGTGAAGCAGGCTACACGCCTGCATTTCCATCCGATGAATTCCCTTTGCAGGCACGTCCTAAGTCCTCTATGCCCTGAGATGCTGTGCTAAAAATAGCTCCAGGATTACCTCCCTGCTTTGCAGCTTGTAGTCCCCCAGACAGAGGCCCCGCTGTCAGCCAGTCTGTGCTGGAATTAGCACACGGTGTCAGCACTGGGTTGCATCCTGTGTCCTTTGGTTACCTGTGTCCAGGAGGCCAGCCACACCCATCCTTAACCACTGATGTAAAGGATGTCACGGGCTGACTCACTCTCTCTGTGTTATTTCAGACAGCAGGCTGTTCCTGCCCCCAGCACCTTTCCACACAGCAGCTTTTCCTTCTCTGTAACCGGCCCCACCCTCCAGCACATCCAGGAAACCTGAGCTCCCAGCTCTGGACTCCCAAGCTGTGTTAATGATTCTTGGACAGGCTTACGTATTCTTGAGTTTCTGGGTACCATCTGTATGTGTTCTCCTCATCCTCACGCAGACACACTAGAACATTCAGGTTCATTGAACCTGAAGTCAACCAGTCTGGAAATCAAAGTAGGTTGATATATTTATGGTGTAGAGATTTTGTAAGATTAATGGCCCAAAGGAATTTGAGAAAGATTGGTTAAACCGAAATCCTAGAATGTAAATGTTTAAATGTCTTATATATACATACATAAGTATATATAATCTCCTGCCCCCATTTTTCTCAGTACCTAATTCCTGGGGAGATGGAAACATACCTGGTTTTGTGTTCAGAAATCTTAGCAAATAAGTGAGATAGGTGTGTTTGTTTTTAAGACAAGTTTTCACGGCATTGCCCAGGTTGGTCCTAACTCCCAGGCTCAGGTAATACTCCTAGTTTATTCCCCAGAGTAGCCGAGGCTACAGTCACTCACTACCAAATGTAGCAAATAGGCAATTTGGGCATGAATTGCAGTCTGTCTCAGTAATGCTATGATGGACTACTGTGACCAAAGCAACTGGGGAAGGAATGGGTTTATTTGGTTTACACTTCCTTTTATCACTGTCCACCATCAAAGGAAATCAGGACAAGAATTCCAATGGGGCAGGGACCTGGAGGCAGGAGCTGATGCCGAGGGCTAATGGAGCGGCTGTGCTGCTTACCGGCTTGTTCACGGCATCTACAGCCTGCTTTCTTAGAGAATCCAGGCCCTCCCTGCAAAGGGGCACCACCCACAAGGAGCTGGGTCCTCCCCCATCAATCACTAATGCCCTATAGCAGGATCCTATGGAGGCATTTTTCTCAATTGAGGTTCCCTCCTTTCAGATAACTCTAGCTTGTGTCAAGCTGACAGAAAACTAACCAAGACCCAATGCAATAAGTTGAACCATTTACCAATCCATCACCAGCTTCCTAAGGGCAGGAAGGGAGTTGGAGGACCAAGTGTGAATGATTTTCAATGGCACACTCAGGTTCAAGGCACAAGAATTTTCAAGGGACATATTGAGATGCTCTCATTTGCCATGACAAAGGGCCATCCTTCGCCTACTTCAGGGCATGTTTTTCCTTTCAGGTGACATCCCATCACTGAGTTCTTATAGCGGTGTTAATAATTAAGGCACCTATAAGGCTGGAACTCAAGGGCCCGAGCAACTTGTTTTACTGAAAACAGACTCCCAAAAGTGGAAATGTCTCTGCAGGTCCCAAGAATCTTCAGATGGAGAAACAGAGAGGAGAGGGAGGACTGTGGTGTAAATTCAGTGGTAAAACGTGTGCTTGGTCTACATAAGACCCAAAATTAAGATTAGTGAAAAAAGAAAAAGAGCAGAGGGAAGGGGAAGAGAGGGGGGTAGGGAGGGAGAGAGGGAGGGAGGGAGGAAGGAAGGAAGGAAGAAAGGAAAAAGGAGAAGAAGAGAGCAAACTGTTTGCCCTGAAGCTCAAACCCAGAATGAGAGAGTTCTTCAGTACACGTGGTAGGCAAGACCTGCCTCTTAGCCCCCTCCCTTTGGGCCCTTGCTAGCACCATCTCTTAATCCATCGCCAGAGGCTAAGACACTGAAGGACTCAGGTTGTTAAAGTATGCCTTGTATCCACAGTGCTTTTACTACATACATATGGTTTTCAGCTCTTATGGTAATGTCATTCCGTCTCCTGGCTAGCCTTTGTCATGTCTCAGTCTTCAGACTATGGTATCTTGTGCAGACAGGTCTCTCCACTTAAAGAATGGTATGCGACGATGGGAAACTGTGTTCAAGAATAATTTCTATGGCTTGTTAAGAAAATAAAGAGGATATCTTTTCAAGCAGCTTTCAAAACAATGTGTAAATACGAATGTATTTGTATGTGGATTTATTGTTAAAACTACTTTCCTGGGGGAGAGGTAAGCAACATCACCCCTTTGTGTTATAGCCCTGGATGTCCTAGAACTCACTATGTAGACTACATTGGCCTTGAACTCAAAAGAGATTTGCCTTCCTCTACTTTCTGATTGCCGGGATTAAAGGTGTGCACCATGTCACTGGGCTGGTAGTCTTGACAACTTGTAAGATGGCATCATGAGCTGTTATATGAAAGGACATCCTGCCTTCTTAGTGGCATGTTGATAGGACAGCTGGAGTTAAGGTATCCCCTTTATGTGAATAAGAAAACGCCTTTCATATATGTCTGAGTTAGGGTTTCTGTTGCTGTGATAAAACAGCATGATTAAAAGAAGCTTGGGGAGGAAATGGTTTCCTCCACATCACAGACCATCCCTGATGGAAGACATGGCAGGTCTTCAAACAGGACAGGAACCTGGAGGTAAGAGCTGAAGTGGAAGCCGCAGAGGACTGCAATCTACTTGCTTGCTCCCCCTGGCTTGCTCAGCTTGCTTTCTTACAGCGCTTAGGACTCCACAGTCTCAGTGGCGGCACCATTCACAGTGAACTGGGTCCTCCCACATAATCATCAGCCAAAAAAATACACCACAGGACAATCTGGTGGGGTATTTCCTCAATGGAGGCTCTCTCTTCCAGAATGACTCTAGCTTGTGTCAAGCTGTCATAATTTAGACAGCACAACGTTTTTCCCTGTGGTATTAAGGCTTGTTATATATACATAATTTGACATTGCTCTCTCTGATCAATACTACCTAGAAACATTAATCAAGTATGGTATTTGTTCCTATTTCTACCACTGCTTAAGAACTGTTTTCTAAAAACCACAAACTTGGGCTAGGGCAATAACTCAGTTCATAAAGAGTACGCTGTGCAAGCATGGAGACTTGAGTTCAGTCCCCCAGAACCCACATAAAAAAAGCAATACATGGCATCATGGATTTGCATACCCAGTGTTGCTTAGTAGAGACAGACGGTTAGCCTTCTTGGTTAGTTCCAGGCCACTTAGAGACTTTGTCTCAAAAATCAAGGTAGAAATTGGGTCGTGGAGGCACCTCCCTGATCTCTGTGAGTTCAAGACCCGCCTGGTTTATGGAGCAGGTTCCAGGACAACCAGGACTACACAGAGAAACCTTGTCTTGAAATATAACAAGAACAACAAACGAACAAACAAAAAATCAAGGTGGATGGCCCCTGGGAAAAAAATACCTGAGGTTGTTCTTTGGACTCTGCACACACAAGCACTTGCATACACACATGTATACATACACATTCTTGAACACACACACACACACAATCCTCAAAATTTATACAAATCATATAAATTTGTTATGGAAAATCATGAATACCTGTTGCATGCAACTCTGCCTTATTTGCATGTGAACTCAGGGAGGGCCTAGAGTCTATAGTGGGTGGGGATGGCTAGGGGAAGAAACCTGTATCAGTAGTTACAGGAAATGCCTCATCCTTTCTCGGTATGACCTTTAAGAGGGGGATAGGAGCACCAATGGCCCTACAAAGAACCCCCAGCTGGCCTGGGTCTGAAAAAGCCTGGGATAAAACCGGACTCGCTGAACATAGCAGACAATGAGGACTACTGAGAACTCAAGAACAGTGGCACTGGGTTTTGATCCTACTGCACGTACTGGCTTTGTGGGAGCCTAGGCAGTTTGGATGTTCACCTTACTAGACCTGGATGGAGGTGGGTGGTCCTTGGACTTCCCACAGGGCAGGGAACCCTGATCGCTCTTTGGGCTGACGAGTGAGGGGGACTTGATTGGGGGAGGGGAAGGGAAATGGGAGGCGGCGGCGGGGAAGAGACAGAAATCTTTAATAAATAAATAAATTAAAAAAAAAAGAACCCCTCTTCTATGCTCTGTGAGGAAGCTCAACAATGTCATTGGTTCCCCAGGGTACATTTGGGCAGTATTGTGCCTTGGTTTGCCTTTGGGACCTTAGGAGAAAGGGGTGATGTTGCTTACCACTCCCCCAGGAAAGTAATTTTAACTATACATCCACATATAAATACATTCATATTTACACATTGTTTTGAAAGCCGCTTGAAAAGATATCCTCTTTATTTTCTCAACAAGCCATAGAAGTTATTCTTGAACACAGTTCCCCATCGTTGCATACCATTGCTTTGTACTTGTCCCTGTTTATCTGCTGGGCAATCTCCTGTCTCCTTCTACCTAATTCCTCCCATAGCGTTTCGGCTCCTTTTGTACATATTTTATCACTTCCTCTCCCACTCATAGGATGACTCTTAACCATGCACATTCACAGAATTCAAATGAGACAGTCTGAAAATAATAGAAGCAGCCACGAAATTCACAATGTGTGATATTTTGGGGTGAGGAAGGAAGAGGCGAAGTGTATGCCACACAGCCACTGTTGTAATTATTACTGCCATCATTACCCTTATTTGCTGCTACATTTTAGTTTTTATTCTCAGAGTTGTGGAACTGATGAGAGGGGGGAAAAATGAGATGGCCGGATGGAGAACCTGAAAGCAATTCTAGTTAGGGTAGGTGCGTTGCCAAGAAGCAAAGCGACATCGAGCTCAAAGGAACAATGGTTTAAGTAAGAAAGAAAATTATTCTACTTTTGCATAAAAGAAGTCTGATGTTTTGAATACTTGCTCCCCCACCTGGGACCTAGCTGCTGGAAGTAGGTCACTAGGGGTGGGCCTTTGAGGCATAAGGCCTGACCCATAGTCTAGCCTTGTCTTCCTCTTGGCCTGCCATGGTATAAGGAGCTTCCATGAGCTCCACCATAATGGTCTGAATCCTCTAGAACTCTGGGACCTTACATTGTCTCTCGTGGTGCAATGACACAAGAGTAGCTAAGATGTATCAGAAATCCATTCTTCTACTTAACTCCCTGAGACATTTTCCACTTGGGGTCACCTTGCAAGATCTGAAAGGTGACTTCAATATCAACATCCCACCAAGAAGAGAGGCT